TTAACATTTTCTTTAAAAGTCAAATAAAGGTCAGCTGGTAATAATGTTTATGAAGTATGTTTCCCTAATACAATTTTGTAAAAAGAAAATTAATTGAGTATTTATGGAGAGCCTGCTTTGAACCCAACACTGCACGTTTATTTGAATGATGGTAGACTAGATTGAATTTCACTGTAATCTAATAGTTATCCAATTTTTTGCCACAGTGTAAGAAGCCTTTTCATTTTAAATAATTTTTTTACAGCTAATAACTGTCAAGAAACACACAAACATTAATTGAAATTTGAAACAACACAAGAGTTAGTGAAAACCTATTTCCAGTGTACTGTATTTCTAGTATTTTTCCATGGTTTCTATTCAAACAATCTAAGGTTCCTATTACTCAGAAACCTTCACAGATTTATTTTTAATATACAGAAAAAATTATCTATTGCCTTCCTATTTTATTTCTGAAAGGAAAGTAAAGAAGGCACGGAAAGAGGAAAGGCAAATGTTTTCTGTATTGTTTGAAGGTTCACTGATTTCTGAATCACCTCCATTTGATCTTATCCCTCTTGTGGAAAAAATCCATTCCTCAGACCTCTTTTAGGTTGATTAGTACCAAATTCTTTACTTGCCCATTTGATTCCTGTAGGCTATGATGTTTTCCAACCAAGAGAGGATTCCATCCTTCCTGCAGGAACTGCTCCACAGTCAGTATCAGAGAGGCCTCAGGCAGATCCTCTGCTTTACATTGTAAAGGTAAATTAAGTCTTCCCCCTCCCTGCTCATTCCTTTAATCATTTAACAGATTTTCAAAACTTCAATATCCCTTTCACTAAGTTTCTACCTTTCTCAAACTTACCTAACCAGAAACTCTGAGTTTATCATAAAAACTTTCAACAATGCTTATTTTGTTTGATATATATCATATAAAATACACAATATAAAATTTTGTATGTAAAGTCTATTTTATATTCTAATTCGTGCCCCTGTGGGGTCCCTTGGCCTGGCCTGAGGGTTTGGGCCAAAACTGGCTCTCCGATACCCCCTGAGGGGTCCTGGATTGTGATAGGGTACAGGCCAGGCTGCGGGACCCCACTGGTGCATGGCTGGGGAGGGACATGACAGGTTGGCCAGCCAGGGAGGGACTGGGTGTGTCCAGCCCATCTTGCTCTGTCCCCATCAGCCAGACCCCAGTAGCAAGCTAACCTACCAGTCAGAGCATCTGCCCCTTGGTGGTCAGTGCACATCTTAGTGAGCGGTTGCGAGGCCCTAGCATATCGTTAGCATACTATGCTTTGATTGGTTGAGCAGACAATTGAATGACTGGACACTTAGCATATTAGACTTTCATTATATAGGTTTTAAAAGCCTAAGCAACCGTTCAACTGTTCGACCAGTCACTATGACATACACTGACCACTAGGAGGAAGATGCTCAATGCAGGAGCTTCCCCCTGGTGGTCAGTGAGCTCTCACAGAGGGAGCACGGCTCAGCTGATCAACAGTCGCCAGACATTGGGCTCATGGCCCATGGACACTTCCCTGGGTGCCCCTCCTCCATCCAGACCTGTACCAGTATTGGGACCGGCATCAGGACCAACTGGGCATGAGTCTGCGGTCACTTCCCGGTCATAGGCGCTCTGGTATTGCCCTAGGACAGGCTCACAGAGACTGCAGTGGAGCGCAGTGAGCCTACCGAGTGGTAGCGCAGCAGGCACAGCAGGGCCGGGATGAGCAGGTGCAGAGCACTGCCTGGCCCAGGCTTGGCTCCTCCCCAGCTGCCTGCCATTTTGCGCACTACTACATCCTTCAGGGGATGTTGGACTGCCAGTTTTGGCCTGATCCTCGCAGGCCATGCCGAGGGACCCCACCAGTGCACGAATCTGTGCACTGAGGCTCTAGTATCCAATAATAATAAAGTACATTGTTCATTTTTTGTTTAATATTTCTGCTTTACAGCTAAAGAGCCAACAAGCTCCTTGCTTGCAGGAACATGCCTTATCAAGCCACTTGTACTAGTATAATATAGTGGGGCAATGGAAGGTTTGGGTTTGCCATTTTGACCCTGCTGTATTTGAACCCGAGGGTGTTTCGATACAAAAGATTTTTAATAAAAATATTTAATATCAAAAGCAAACATAAACGAATCTTAGAAGTCCACAGTCAGCTAAATTATCATTCAAAAATAAGAATAAAAGTGTTTGGGCTTTTTTCCAGACAAGAATCAGAAGAATTTACCAAACCTAGAGCCTATTCAATTTTATTCTTGAATGACAATTTAGCTGAAAGAAAGATGGGGGTATGATAAAGTTAATAGAAGAGATTTATTAGCACATGAATAAATCTAACCGAACATTGAACTTTAAACTTATAACAAGGACTAAGTTTAACAGTAAAAACAGAAAGCTAAAATACTGGGTACAAGAAGAGGACATGTGTGAGCAATCTGGTTGTTCCCCAGCTGAAATCCCAGCCAAACATAAGCATTATCTGTCAGACATGGGAGTGAAAGTGGTCTCCAGATGATTCCAGCCCCAAGTCATTGGGCCACTCAACGCTGTTGCTTCACTGTGAGCCATTAGAATCTACTCTCTCTCATCTATTATATATATAGAAAAGCCTAAGCGACCTTTACAACTGAACCACCAAATGACCAGAACGGCTGGTCAACCATTCACTATGATGCGTATTGACCACCAGGAGGCAGATGCTCAATGCAGGAGCTGCCTCTGGTGGTCAGTGAGCTCCCACAGCCAACCTCTCATGGCCAGCCAACCTCGCCCATTCCCTGCCCCAGCCTATTTCTTTCCCCGGTCCCTTTCCCCGCTGACCAATTTCCTGCGGTCCCTCCCCCATCCATCCTCCCAGCCAGCAGGCTCCGATCTGCCCAGCCCTGATCAACCCGGCCCCAACTGGGACTAGGCGAGATGGCTCTGATTGGCCCTGATCACTACGAGGTCTAGGGACCCCACCCTTGCACAAATATGTGCACTGGGCCTCTAGTATTTATATTTCATCAGGGTTAGCCAGAGAAATGCTATGGTTCTATTTCTGTGACTTATCCTGATGAATACAGTTGTTGACAAATCCAGCCCTGCTAGCCCTTGGAGAGACTTGGTAGGGATGACACCAGGAGAGGGAAATATCCTATCTTATTTTGTTCCCTCTGGCCTTCCTGTTGACAAAATGCAACCAAAAGCCAGAAAGGAGAAGGAGTCTGTTGATATACAAGGTGTCCCAAAGAAATGTATACACACTTTGAATGATTATAAAGTCAGTGTTTAATAACTTACAGTTGATTTTTGAAATTTAAAAGAATCTACAAACATGAATAAATTTTTTGTCAATGCCTGTTTTCAAACTAATTACCACTCTGGTCCAGGCACTGCGGATAACACAAAGCAATGGAATTGCAAACATCAAGAATCATTTCATTCGGTATTTGTGCACCCTCGATTTGTCAACTGTTGCCAGTTTTGTACTGTAAACTTTATTTTTTATGTATCTCTATTAAAAAAAGAAGTCTAATAGCACTTCAGGATAAGTTTTCTTTGTTCAAAGCTTAGTCTGGCTTCACCCATTGTTTCAAACCAGTTAAACCTGAAAAGGAGTGAAAATTGAGTTCAAGTATGTATGTATTTGGGGGACACCCTATGGTTCATACAGCCTAGCTTCCCAGTACACTGAGCAGGGTGGAGAAGAGAAAAGAGTGGGACTGGATGGGCAAAGAAAGAGTTAAACTGTTAAAGAAAAGCTGTGTAATTATTACCGTAAAATTCAGAATGGTGGTCACCTCCAGAAGGGTGAGTCGATAACGATCCAAAAGGGACACATAGGTGGTGGTGGTGAGGGGGGTAGTTTCTTAATCGGAATGGTGTTTGAATGGGTGTTTGTCTTACAATTATTCACTAAACTATACACGTAGGTTTTGTGCTTTTTGTATATTTCATAATTTAAAAGTTTAAAGAAAAAACAATGCTGAACAATAAGCACTTGTCCATCTGAGTTCTAAAAGTCATAATAAATTTTCAGATGAGCACAGCTGCAGCACTTAAAACAAGTCTGTTTAAAACAAGAAAATTTGTTACAGAGAAGTATACAAGTCCTGACAAGGGAAAGAATTAAATAACTCATAACTAAAAGATATTTTCTTAAAAAAAAAAAAAAAGTTTGCTTCAAGCCAGAGTCTTGGACGTGTTTAAATGCTGACAGTAAAAACAGTAGAGAGACCAATGCTGAAGACACAGGAGAAGGAAAGGGAGAGAGATGCAGTGCAGTCCCTCCAAGGTCAAAAGGGATACACAGAGCACTGCCAGGGGAACGAGGCAGAAGGAGGATGAGGAACATTTATTGCACTCTGGCCGAAGGAAAGAAAAGCATGCATGTGGCTGCATTTACATTTGTTGGCTTAGTAGTGGGAAACAGGGGAGTTCCCTATTCGATGCTTCCTTTTTCTGTGACAGAAAACATGAGGAAGGAACTGTCAAAGTCAGAGGTGGGGAACAGTGAGAAGGCTTATACCAGGCTGACATCATAGAGGACCGTGGACATATTGGGGTACAGAGAAAAGCTGTGAACGGTTTATGGGGGACCATAACGGGTTAAATGGTGAAGTTGCTAACTGACAACAACAGAAGAGAAAGGGGGCAGTATAGTCTCTCTTGGATCTCAGAACAGAAGTTCTTCAGGAGGATGGGGTGATGGTCTAGTTCTCATCCTTCACTCCAATGGGAAGTAGAAGATGTAATAGAAAGTAGGAAGCAAAGCATGGGCCAACCTAGCGGACCAGGATAAGGTATAAATGGGCCTGTAGTGAGAATATCAGGAAATGGAACATGTTAAGTTAAACCAGCTATAAGGTTTTAAAGAAGAATTTGGCCTGATACTGAGTAGTGGGTGGTATGGTAGCCTAGATGCCCAGGTTGGCTCTGGAAGACTCCAAGTTTTAGATCACTCCCTGACAGGAGAATCCAGTGGTAAAAAACACATGCTCATTATACACAACTGTTTGCATACCTGTTCATCAGGTCATCAGATTCCTCTGAAGCTCTGGGTTAAGACCATATTTAGAAGGTGGCTTTGTGTTGAATGTGCCTATTGGGTGATGTTCATGGCTAATTCCTCATGCAGGTAGGTATTAGTCTCTCCTAAAAGGCTGGGCCTGCCAAACAGAAGAGAAAACTTTAGAAAGTTGATCAAAGCATACATTGGCTTAATGTAGTTTCCTTTGGAAAATAATGTCTCTCTCTATGACAATTCAGTGTTCCCATAATTCTAATTAAAGTGTTTATTATGCACAAACGTCCTTGGGATCAAAATGGCCTGTGCCTTAGTTGCTTAATAAATGTTTGTTGAGCTCAAAAGATAATAATGGGCTTCCCGTGTAGGCTTCCTGCAGAGAAAAGAAAATGTAGGCCACCTATCATATGTTCCTAGGCCCTTGGATAGTTTCCTTTCTCAATACCAATGAGCAAGTTAGTATTCTAGTTTACACACTGGCCTCTTGTGCGCTGGGTTAGCACAAGCTTTGTCCCTTGAGTAAGATCAGCTCTGGGCACCCAGACAAAATAAAGTTTCTGGACTTGCAAAACCAAGGAATGAGCCCTGGAAAATGTGACTTGGGTGAGGCAATGTTACCCTGAGGCCAGCCCAAGCAGCCCAGCTGGCCTCTCCCTATGACATTTCTAGCTCAGTTGCTCAGAACAGTGACTCTATTTAAGACAATCTGACCTCCTGCCATAAAAATCTTTGAAGCCCTGACGAAGTTGTTACCAAAACATTGTTGTAATCATAGTTAATGCAAGAGGACTGAGCCATTTCTTAGACATCGCAGTGAATTAGTAAATCACACTGTCTGAAAACGCCTCCTAAATTCTCGAGTCTAGCACGGGAGCTGCTAACAGTGCACACCGTGTGAGTGTTCACGGGGAACAGCCTAGAAACAGACTGTTCCATTTTAAGGCTCCAGCTAGTGCGTTCCAGCCTGCTTGTAGCAAAACACAGCCAAGCGCTATACATTCTGCTGCTGGGTCTGTTCTGTTTTGTTTGTATTCTGTTACACTTCATTGCTTCTTGTGTTATGCCAGGGTTGCACATTTCTGAGTGTCTCATTCTTTTTGTTTATAGAAATCTTCGACTCTTCCCCACATTCTGAAGAGGTAGACATAATGACCAGTAAAAACAGAATTTTCCCCCCCAACTCGACAAACATTCCAATAACAATTATTGACAATTCTTTTGTTTCTGTTCACCTACAAAAAGATAGATTATAACTAGCTAGATCTACAAAGTGTCATTTCTTGCCAGATTTCACAAGAAGAGTTTTCTCCTCCATCAGAATTTCATAAATTCTCTTTACGATTTGCTGATTTCCATAGCAGCAAACCAAGGTATGTGAAAGAACAGGGGGTAAGAGGTGGGGTGGGGCAAGGAGTGGGGTGGAAGGGGGGGGGGGAGGTTAGAAATGCAACGTTGAAGGTTTTGCTCAAGTGCCTTTTTTTGGGGAAAGGGGTATTTCAGAGGAGAGCTTGAGAAAGTCTGCTTGCTGCTGACATTACTCCAGGAGCGTCTTTGCCTGGTTTCCCTTTCTTATCTCTTCACTGAGGAAGCTATGAGTGCCTTTTAGTGTGGACTGAACTGCCCTTGTCCTAACACTGGAAGGAGCCTGTACCACGAGAACATCTTGAGAAGCGCATGGAACAAGCCCCCTGGTGAGCAGGAACTATCAGCCATGTAGGAGAGGGGCGATCGTTGGCTGAGAAAAGGGTTGGGTTTGGATCTCACTATGGTACGGAAAGAAACTGAGAGTATAGCTGAAGCGATGATAATAATTACAGAAGCCCAGGTTGTTTTAATTTAAAAGTGAGGGAATATAATAAAAAAAACTATACTCAAGTCCCAGATTAAGATGTTAAAAACAGAATGGATTCTAAAGAGGAGCATGGAGATCAATGTCAGTAGGAATGTGACCAAGGAGACCTCTGGGGAAAGTGAGAAGCAGGGAACGAGAGGAAAAAATGTCCTTCAGATAAGCCAATACATATTTAAATGCTTCAGCAAGGTGATTTGTTAGAATGCTGAAAGTACTGTTCACCAAGAAACTAGCCTGCAAACCTCATATTTAATGGTATCAGTTGGGCTTCCCTCAGGCGGGGGGGGGGGGGGGGGGGAAGACCTATAAGAAAATTTCAATTGCTATTCACTGTAAAATAGAGTTTTAAACTGCAGTCGGGATTACAGACTCAGAGGTATAAAGTAAAAAGCATGTCAAGAAAAATAAGGATCAGAATTACTGTGTGAAGGCAGAAGTCAGGGCAAGTGGCTTATGACAGCTGTTGAATGACAAAGTAGAACATTGTAAAGCATGCTTATGAAATGCCCAGTGGGGATGATATCCAATGGTTGGCCATAGTAGAGACACATGAACAGGACAAGTTAAAGAGTGCAAAGGATGATGGGGAAGACTTGAGAATTTACCATTGTAAATGGCACAACTTTTAGTTCAGTTAAAACTAGAGTCAGGTTATAGTAATATTTTTAAAAATCTATTTTACAAAATATATATTTATTGATTTCAGAGTGGAAAGGGGAGGAGGAGGGGAGAGAGGAAGGGAGAGAGAGAAATATCAATGATGAGAAGGAATCACTGATTGGCTGCCTCCTGCACATCCCACACTGGGGATCAAGCCCACAACCTGGGTATGTGTCCTGACTGGGAATCAAACCAAGACCTCCTGATTCATTGGTCAATGCTCAACCACTCAGCCGTGCCAGCTAGGCTATTTTTTAAATGTATCTGAATTCTTCAAAAAGAAGGTTTATAGAATTCAAATCTAATATCCTGTATTTCTGTTTGGCTACAAATGGACAACTTCACAAAATATTATGTATAAATAAATGATATAATCAATAGTGTTTGATTAGATACTTGTATACATATTTTTCAAGGGCTAAATAACAAAAAAGACATATTAAAGGCTAGACTTCTTTGAAGTTCAACCTTTTGAGAAATGCTGGTAGGAATAGGCAGTCCTATTTCAAAGGAACATATATGTATTAGTATTTTAAAGTAACATTTTAACTGAAAACAAAACAAAAAAAACAAAATGAAACAGCAGAACAGTTGTTTTAAAAACACAACTGGTAACATAAATCCAATCAAACAAACAAAATAAACATTTTAGACCTTTTCTGAAAGAGCATAGTATAACAGTATTTTGCATATAAATATCGATAACATTCTGGATTTCCACTTTAGCTACTCCAAACAGAATTGGGGATATTGCAGCCTTGTGCCTTAGAAGAAATCAACAATTTAGAAAAGAAAAAACAAAACAAAAAACAACTGTTGGTTATTTATGTGAGAAAAATTACCCAGGTAATAAAATGAGTAAAGTCAACTTTCCTTATGACTAACTGTATGCTTACCAACCCTGGTACATGACTTTGCTTAGGTTACTCTATATGAAGTATGTGCAAGCTTTTGTAAAAAAAATAAAATAAAATGCTAATCTTGATTTTAATGAATTTTGTGTAAATTTGCAAACTTTATCGCTCATAAGATTAGTTAATACAATACAAATACATTTTTCACTTGGCTGATTTCGAGGCACGTAGACCTGCAGTCTATCTGTGTTGCCTTCTCTTACTTCCTTTCCCACAGCCTCCCTGGCCCCAGCAGCCAGTCCAGGTTCTTCTCTGTTCTGCTTCCTGGTGGCTCAGTACTCCGCCACCGTGTCCTTCCTTCTTGGCTTGCTCTCTACAGCACAGCCCTAGGCACCAGACCAGTAGGTCTGGAAATTATTTATTTACTTATTTTTCAATTACAGTTGGCATTCAATATATTAGTTTCAGGTGTTCAGCATAGTAGTTAGACATTTATATAACTTACGAAGTGATCTGCAAACTTTTTTGACTCAGCGCCCTATATTTTGAGTATGCCCCCAATATCTTGATAAATTACATACATATGACCGCCAATATATTAGGATTACAACAAAATATACTGAAATAGGAAATTTTCAATAGTTGAGATAAAGATTAGATAAATCATCGATTTGAAACATTTAAAAATGCATTAATAACACCAAATACATTTTTCTCCAAAATTGTATTGTTAATAAAGCTTTTAAGGAGAACAATGGAATATGCCTCATTGTTTCTAAAATCCTGGTTTAACATTTTTGTGATACAGCAATGCCGATTTCTGGTTTAGTTAGGTTTATTTAAAGGCTCTCTGAGGAAAGCTCACAAAGATATGTGGATTTACTTATTTATTTATTTATTTATTTATTTATAATATACTAGAGGCCTGGTGCACGGATTCATGCACTGGTGGGGTCCTTTGGTCTGGCCTGCAAGGATTGGGCCAAAACCAGCTCTCTGACACCTCCCAAGGGGTCCTGGATTGGGAGAGAGTGGTTCTCAGGTGATGCACCCCGGAACTGGGCACCTTCCTGTCTGCCTCTGGCTGTGTCACTGGAGAACAACAACAGTTGCCAAGTCACCACAGCTCGGCAGCTCCTGCATTGAGTGCTTGCCCCTGTTGGTCAGCGCACGTCATAGCAACCAGTCTGATGATCAAATGGTTGCTTGGGCTTTTATATATCTAGATTTTTTAGTTTACTTCAGAGAGGAAGGGAGAGGGAGAGACAGAAACATCAATGATGAGAGAGAATCATTGGTCAGCTGCCACCTGCACACCCCACACTGGGGATCGAGCCAGCAACCAGGGCACATACCCTGACCTCCTGCTTCACAGGTTGATGTGCAATCTGAGCCACGTCGACTGAGCAAGATAGGTGGATTTAAATGGTAGAGCTTCTTCCTTAGCTGTTTTACTAAATCATGACACTTATTTTTCAGTCCCATCACTCATTATGCAAAGATTTTGGCTGAAATCTGATGAATACATTTCCATCTTGCCTACTATTACTCATTTGTTGCAGCAAACTAATTAGGTGTCATACATTTTTATATTGTTCACAAAAAATTTCAAAGTCCATAGCAATTTTATTTGAAAAATAGGTTGGTTTTAAAAATCTTTTAAAATATGAGTTATTATAGGCTATACTCATTATTTTCAATCACAAAAGAGGCTGCATGCATTATTTTCAATAAAAATTATGTAACGAAGGAAACATCAATCATCAGCATAGCATA